GTTCAGCGTTCCTCCATGCAACATAAGCCATATTTACCGCTTACGTGGCCTTTGCTACTTTTGTGCGCTTCATCCTTTTCCTCCTCATGAGGGTCACCTGAGGCCTCTTCAACCCTGCGATCAGCAGCAGCAACCTGGGCCGCGACTTGGTGAGCCAGCTTCTCAGTAGCGTCCCCTTGGGAAACCTGCAGGAACAGCAGTAGTCCGTTAAAGCCAGGAACTCCGAATGAACCAGCAGGATTTCAACACCCTCTGGTTAATTCACTTTAGTGTTTAAAAACCACAAATATAACACGAAGCCTTTAGAGACCTCACCGTGCGATAACAAAACATTTAAGGCGAACTTTCCGATAAAAGCATAGAAGTAAATTCAAATGCTACTTAAACACATAGTTCTTCTAAATGTGGATTTGTGTTGGCTGGTCCGCCACTTTGGTTCAGACTGAAATAAATATTGAAAGGATTCTGATGGAATTCGGTTCATACATTCATGTCCTCTTAAGGAAGAATTACAACGTTGATGATCCTCTGACTTTTCTTCTACCGCCATCATCAGGTCAACATCTAAATGAGTCCAATACTTTGGTGTTTTACCAAATACCTGCAGAACTAATGGCATTATAAGCCTCGGCTGTACTTTGTGTTTTTTGCTAATTAAGTAATGTTAGCATGCTAACATGCTATCATGCTGTTTGCAGGTTGCAAACGAACCTTCAGGTTACACAAACTTAATTTGGTAAAGAAAGCGAAGGTTAACAGTTAAACTCAACTGTTGTAAACATCTGTCACAGTTAACAGAACCACCTTCTGTCTCAGCTTCAGACTTATCTTCATGATCCATGAATAGTGCACTTATTTTTTTGATTAATCATTTGGTCTGTTGAACACCAGAAAACCCTTTTGGCCTGTTACACAAACCTCAACCACACTGTGTGACACTGAATGTCTTGTGTTGTCCTACAAAACGCCCCAAACTAAAAAATATCCAATTTACTACAATGAAAGGAAGTAATCAACTTGATTTTATAAAGTATTTTTAAAAATAGTGACGTCCTGACTGACTAGTTACGATCGACAGTCCAAAATAGACAAAAACCAAAACATATTTCAGTTATTATCATATATAAATGACAAGCAGAATTTTTGCTTTATCTTTCGATTCATTTATGAAGTGACTGATCTACAAATGTAAAACTTATCACACCAAATATTTATAACTAACTAGGGCGGTGACCGTTTTCGGGCGATTGCTTGTCCTCATCCAAACACCTTCAATACAACACAAAACACCAGCGAGGTGTGAAGTCGACCGTTTGTCCGTCCTTTGAGTTTCTCCACAACCGTCCTGAGACTCTTTCCACTTTAGTTCGACAAAGCCCTCAGAGGAAGAACAGGAAATGCTGATTGCACGTTTTGATCGTGCAAACTAAAAGACTTTCTTACTCGTGGCCTTTTGTTCACGTCACTATACCGCTGTCATCTTTTAAGTTCTTTTAACCTGTGATTTGACACCTTGTGACCCAACGACCAACCGACCAATCACACCGACTCCTACGAGCACGACGCCGCTGAGCCTGGATTAGGAAGCAGGACAGTACCTGGACCAGAAACACTCCTCACCGAAGCACCATATCATACACGTGTTCAAGCCTCCTCCAGGAGCTTCACATTCTCCACAAAAACAGACTTTTTTTTTTTTTTTTTGCTGCAGGGAAGCTGCAACCTTTGTGTCTTTATACGAGTCGTGACCTGCTGAGCCCGATGGAAAAACAAAAACAAAACCTTTGTGCTGTTCGAGCACACTGAAACCAGCCAGAGAGAGATCTAGCAACGCGTGGACGGACCGTGCTGACGCCATTGTTGTGGCCTGCGGGGCTCGATGTTAAATGTACCAAGGGGGGAACATTGTTTGTGTCCCCCCCCCTTAAGCCCTCATCCTGTTCATTATCGTCATGTGATTGTCTCCAGTTAAACTTTGTCTTCTCCTCAACAGCTCCTTCTCCTCCATGTGTATCGATCAGCAGCTATCTTCAAAATCCTCTTCAGGCTGCGTTCAAGTTCAGGTTTGTTCACCTTTTTCACTTTGTTTTATTTTCTTTTGTTCTGCCTTTCCTTGTTGTTCTTGTCCTGCTCTTTACTTTGCTCTATCATTTTCATTCAAGAAATCGTCTTCTCTTTGTCTGCAGATCCATCTTATAAAGCAGCTTCAGTAACTTATTATAAATCACTCCGTACTGTTTTCACAGCTGTGTTTTTTGTTTGTCTTGTTAGGTTTTCTAATGTCATCCAAGTCGTTTTTTTTTACCCTACCCAAGCCCACCACCACCTCCTCCTCCTCCACAGCAGACATCTTTGTTGGTGTCTATTACTGACCGGTCGCCGACGTCCTTAGAGTCAGAGGAAGCGGGTAACTTTGACATTGTCCTCGTCCGTCCGTCCTGTAGCAGCTAGCGAGAGGAGCTCACTCTTAATATCGCCCAACAAACAAGCTGGCCGATCATCATCAGCAACGTCACAAACCTTCCGTCTGCTTCAGCATCAAAATAACTATTCATCCCAAAATGTAGTAATCCAAGTGACAAGTTTATTTTCTCACACACACACACACACACACACACACACACACACACGCCAGAGAGTAGAGGTACTACTAAGTTGTTTCTCAGAGCAAAATACACGACGGCGGATCTACAACTCTACGGCACCGACAAACCAAAACACTTGCCTTAAATACATCAAGAGTCAAAGTTCTCACTCTGAGGCTCTGAAATATATCGAGTGAGTCCCAGTCGATGTTGTCCACATCCATCACCTCCACTCTTCACCTCCGCACACAACTTAGCAGTCCTCTACCTCCACTCCCCTACCTCCGCACAAGGAACACAACAGAAAGCAGTCCTTACCAATTGACCCCACACATTTGTTAGGTTATGCCCCCGGCGTCCCTGCAGAGGCACATATATGATCCCCGCTGCAGTTTTTCCCTCTCGCACTAGAAGCTTCAGCCAGGACGCAAAAACAAATCTGCTAAATAATAGGAGGCCATGAAGCGGTGGGGGGGGGGGGGTCCACTCAGCACTTCTGACTGCAAAGAGCAACGGGTGATACCAGGACACGCAGCCAATCAGGGCACGGACTGCACCTGTTGCCATGGTGCCCGGCACTGACCAGTATAAAAATGTGTGTGTGTGTGTGTGTGTGTGTGTGTGTGGGGGGGGGGGGGTTGGAGAGTGTAGGAAGAGGTTAGCTGAAGTGTCGCTGAGGCAGCAGGACTGTCAGCAGCTGCTTGTTTAACACATATCAGTATCCTGAGTTCACTAAATATATACATGTTCTGCATCCTTTAAAAACCCTTTAAAGTACATTTACTCAAGTTTGACATACTATACTATGACTTATATTTCGATTTTTTCAACATGCTATGACTTTTTTTGACAAACCATACTATGACTTTTTATTACTATTTACGGCATACTATACTGCGACTTATATTTCGATTTTTTTCAACATATTATACTATTACTTTTCATAAAAAGCTTTTTTTACATGCTATACTATGACTTATTTTTGGCTTTTTGTACATGCTATACTCAAGCTAGCTACTGTGACACCATGTTTGAATGGCTGTAGTGTGGGCCTTATAGGCAGCTTCACCTACAAAATGAGTTTTCTGTAAAAGGCCATCCACTTTCTTTTGGAAAGATTCTGTGTGTTGTACATTTAAATGATTTATGATTTGTATTACCTTTTCTTTCGATCATTAGATGGATGGTGATAAAGTCTGAAGTCTAATAAGATGCAAGCTGCAGCTGACTGTGATGTCTGTGGCTGCTCTGTAGAGGGCTCTGTGGCTTCAGGATAACACAGAGAGATGCAGGAGATTCAGAGGAGTGGTGAGGCTGTGCAGGCATGTTTAGTGTCAGACGGAGAGGTTCGCCCTGCTGTTTGTTCGCTGCTGCAGAGATCAACCTGGAGGAAGAAAGGAGGGGGTAGGAGGGCTGGCACTGCAATGCAGAACATTAAATGAGGAGGGAGGAAGGAGAGAGAGGGAGGGAGCTCTGCAGAGAGCAGCTTTTTTTTTCCGAGGGGGAGGCTCAGGGATTCCCTGTCGGTTTGGAAGAGATCCAGAAGGAGAAGCAGCGACTCGAGTTCGGAAACAGAAAGACGAGCAGATTTAAAACTGATTGTGATTAATGAATTCAAATCACTTAGAAATGATTTGACAGCAACAACCTTGATCTCAATATGATTTTTTTTCACCACTGTATTCATTTATTTGTCAGTATCAGTGTAGTTGGACACAGAAAGGTAATAAATCAGACAGACGGGTGCAACTAAATATACAGACAAGAACACAAAACAATCGGATGTAACACACTGGGGTTATGATTTCAATTTTGTGCTTATTTTTAGTTGATTGTATTTGTGGCAGTACTAGATATTTCAAATTGCTGTGTGAGCATGTATGAACGTTATTATGTGTAGTTGTGACCAGAAGAATGCGCAGTTATGTGAGGACTACAATAATAGTAATAAAACAATAGCACTAATATCATCTGAATATTCTCGTTGATGTGAGTGAACGAGGAGTTCTGATGAAGAAAAATCATGATTGTATTGTAGATTTATATTCAGAATAATCTGTACTCACTGAATGATGCTGGTTTCTGATTGGCTGGCAGGTAGACGTTTAAAAGTAGTTGAACCAAATCAGAGCTCACGGTATGTTAACCTGCAGCTAACCGTAGCAACAGATTACTCAACTGACTCAATAGCTCCAAGTGAGCAACTCACCTCTACAAATCTCAACTTGTATCCAGTACTTAAGTGCAACTTTCCTATAAACAAAACACATGGCCCTCTAATAAAACATAATAATTAATTAAACTTACTTCTTTTATAACAGACGTTAAATGAAACGGAACAAAGAGAACAAAGTACAAAGTATGAAATAATTTATTGTTGACATTTGATGTAATTTTCTTAGAAATACTCTTTGTGCTAGTACAGTTTTCATTCCTGTCACTAAGTGAAGAACAGAAATGAGACTATATACTGTATCTGTGGTTACTGTAAGTTTCCCCTCAAGCGTTTCCTCCAAGCTGCGAGTTTCCAGAACGGTGCACATGTGACATTGATAAAGACGTTGTACCATTTTAACATTGAGGCGCTCTTCATGCACAGACTTGTGATTACATACATGTGGCCCACAGCGAAAGGTATTAAAGTTTAAAGAGAACGAAACCTCCTTACTCCAAGAAATTTAAATAGCAAAGGCAAAGTCAGCTCTTTCTTTCATAAAAAAAAAAAGAAAAGTTTCAGACAGCAGCGTCATGCAGAGACGGCCAAAGTGCATCAGTGCCGATACCGGCGGTGCTCATGGGACGGCGTGAGATACACACAGTACCACAAACAACTACTAGTCTCTCAGTACAAATAGCAATAATTGCATATTAGGACACTATATTATAATCACACCTACACAGGACAGATGAGATACCAATGTCAAGACAAAAGTACAACTTCTCAGGTGATGACATAATGATGAATGATGACATTTCCTCTTTGTAGGAATAAAGCCTCAGAGTGTAGATACGGTTACTTTTAGTTTATTACTCTGTTTGCAGATGATACTCAACTTAAAGCTGCAGAACTTTATACTTAAAGAGCAAGATACATTTCATATTTTCAAACTGATTGGTCTAAAATCTGAATTTAATGTCAGGAATTGTTCAGTCAGTAAAAACCAAAGCTCAGTGTTGAAGGTGAAGCTTAGAGAATCCGTTAAACTCCAAATAACCACGTTAGTCATCGTTTATGCTACTTTTGTTAGTTTGGGGAGACGTATTCACGAGATCATAAATTTGTCCATTCAGACGCACGCAGACACATTGTAGTACGATGACGAAATCTAAGCCGCAGTTCAACTAACATCCACTAGATGTAGCTTAAAGAAAACACTGATTCTAGTGAAGTGCAAAACCTCAATTTCTCTCAGCAAATATGTCTTTTTACACAACTTCATCTTTCAGGAGATAATCTATTCATCTGTTGTCAGAATGAGTGTGCAATTCAGGAAATATTCAGATTTCGGTATGTTTGTGGGGTGTTTTTACCTTGATTGACAGGTGTCTCAGCCTATCACACTCGGCCACGATGGTTGCGGCTCATCTCGTCTCAGCTCGACTCTTTTTGAATCATAATCTGGACTTTTAGTCTCCAGTTGGTGACAAAGACGGGGGACGAGCAGTAAACCCAAACTCCAGCTTTTCACGTTTCCTCACAAACCTGCGAGAGACCACAGAGACAACTACAGAAAGGTTCATACAGACTCTGGCATCATATGGGCGTAACCAGCAGGTGTGCATGGTGAAGCTATCAACCACAAAGGACGAAGTCACACAAACGCAGAAATCTTATTGTTAAAGACTGCGATGTGCCCGAGCCTTCAGATTACACGTCATCATGATGACTGACGAGGCTCGTTGGATGTAAACCCGGACAGCTGACCAGAGTACGGCGACAGAGAGTTTTTCACAAAGAAAAGGCTGCATATAAAAAGTTATTACGGTTTCCTTTGCTGGAACTTTGATGGAGGCACAGATGAAGACATGAAGAACTGGCGAGGCATGAAGAGAAAACGGACGGAGTCTATTGGCTGTCGTGACCTCCAACCAAACAGGACATCACGTCCGCTCCGTTACAGTTTGCTCGGCAACAAACGCGTGGTTGTCGGTACATTTGACAACCAGAGTGAACAAACGGTAACAGATGATCGCTGCCGTCGCTGTTGTGTGGAGTCCGTCCAGGGGTAGAAACACGCCAACCTGGATTGTTTGCAACAAGTTGTCGCTGAGCCTAACATCTAACCTACAAGTCTGGTGCCAATGACCCGACAGAATTTCTTTCTACACCCTTCAAACCAAGTAGACTTTACAGCGCTGTCTGCCATTGTCTGTTGATGTCATTACAGCATTGCATTGTGGGATATTATTGCCGCCATAGTGTCCAGTATTTGTACACTGAAATGCTTTCCTCGAAATAGTTTGCAATTTGTGCAATATTGTTTTCATGCTAAGGTTTCGGACATGTTGACTGTTTTAGCGTACTAAATAGCATGTTAGCATTGGAATTTTGGACGCAACCTAATTGTCTTTCTGCCCCGTAGTGGTCAAATATAATTTAACGCAGCTTCAATTCGACGTCAAACTGAAGTCACCACTTTTAACATTTGGGGTGTTATTGGGTAAAAATCAGAGGGTGTAGCTTTAAAGGTGCAAGACACGAGATCGGGAGCCTGTCGGTTGCCTCTAAACGGCCCTCAACATGGCGACAGAGCAAACAGTGTTTCATTCAGAGGTAACCGGAGGGTGGGTGCTACGCTTCCACAACGGCGTTATCAGCTGTAACCTCCGTATCAGAGCGGTGCAGAGCGCCGGCCGTGAGCTAAACAATGGGGAGCGCTCACATGCACAAAAAGCACGTGCAGCCATGTGTCAACAAAGCAAGGAGAAGCTCGGATAACAACAAACACAGAGGGAGAGTGACTTCAGCCTCTGCTCAGGTAGATATTACTCCACTGTATCTTTACAAAGCAAATTGCTGTTTGCCGCTCTTTAAATCTTCAGAATGTTAAATACAGCTCTTTAAATGAAATGTTAAAAAACAAACAGAGGACAGGCTGCAGCTTTCAGGGCTGGAAAGTGACACAAGTGTTCAGATGAGGGTCACTGAGACTGAGGAGGGAAGCTGAGTTAGCTCCGTCACTGAATGTTTGCGTTCAGTGTGAGCCGGGCGATTGAGCCGTACAGTGCGAGTATAAAAGTGCCATAAAAACGAGTTAACATAATGTACAAGATCAATAAAAACACACAGTGTCTGCTCAGCTTCGCACGTCGTAGTGGTTCCTCGAGAGTGCTTCTCTTCACCCGAGACGTTTACTGACCGGTCTGCATGATGTCTGATTAAATGAAAGCGTAGACGTACAATGAGTTAAAACATATTCCACTTGAATTCAGATGCAGTCAAGCAGCCACATATATCAGAATTATTACCATCACAGATGTGTCATCTTTAACACTGAATAAATCAGATTACTGTCCCGTTTGACTTTGGATGTGTTAAACCTGTGAGCTCCATTCAGAGCTGATCAACATGGAAACATGCATAGGTACACTGATTTATTTTTAAATAAAAAAAAAAAAAACCCAAACATCCAGACTAATGTCCGGCTCTGTGCGGGAATTAAAACACATTTAGAGCCTCATTGTCACCGTGATGCATCAAATCTTTCACATTCATTCTGGATTAAAAAAACGCTACCGGTCCCAAAACATCAAAGACTTCTTGCTGAAATCTGTACAGTGTTTATAGTCTGCATGAGGTGGGGGACAGTCTTCTCTTTAAGAAATCCCACCGAACCGAATCACCAAACCAAACCATTGAACACCAGCTGAACGTCTGATCCACACTGAACCTTTAACGACTTCAGCAGCTTCTCACTTACACGGAATTTTGATTGGCGCTCTTAACAACCAATCGCATTGCTTTGATATGACATCATGCAGCGGTTCATTCTCAAACAGCTCCATCAGTAAAAAAAACAACCCAAAAAATACATGAAGTAGTAACATCATGGACGCCGTAATATTTTTTTCAAGATTCGGAATAAATCTGTTCACTTCGATCACAGAGATCAATCACAGCCTCTCTTTTTGAAGTGTGTTAACCTTCTTTTGCTTGAAATGTGCAGACAGCCAATGAGAGCGGACCCTTCAGTATCTCATGGTTCTGAACAGCGAAACAGACTTTGTGGACCACACCTCATGAGATGGGTGAAAGTCACCAAACGAACCTTTGGAAGCGAGTTCCTTCATCACAGTGTTCAAAACAACAACGTTAAAGCCATGTCTTATTATTGCCAAAATTATATGAAGGTCTAAACCCTCTTGAGGACCAAAGGTGCCATCATGACTGTCATGACTCTTTCTACAGTCTGTGATCAAAGTAAAAATCAGCCTTATCATCATTTCAGTGCTGCATCATTTCAGTCTGTAACGTCTTGCAGAGCGATGCTACCGACGTTACAAAGTGCTTTTGCGTAATATCGTCGTCAACCAAAGCTTCACTCTGCAGTCAGCAGCTCATCTGGCATCTGGAGGCTCAACAGGCTCCAGTTTCATTCCCGAGGACCCTGAGGTCCAGTTTAGGAGAAGCTGTCTTTATCGGAATTGGGGGAAGGAGGCCGCGAGATCTCAAAGAAGGAGCCCGACGACTTCCTGGATTTGAGAAGTCGCAGCATCTCAGCCAACTGAGACTCCAGTGCTGCCATGCGACCGTCCAACGATCGGATGTCTCCTTTCAATTCCTGCTTCATCTGCAGGAAAGAGGCCTGCATGCTCTGCTCCGTTATCGGACAGAAGACCGTCTTCTTGTCCGACTGGATCGGGCTCTGCTCCAGCGGCGTTCTGGTGTCGTCGACGTTGTCCAAGCGGAGGTCGCTCTTTGTGATGCCACTGTCACAGGAGTCTGTTTTCTTGAGGGACATCTCATCCTGAGACTTAGTTCTATCGGGCAGCGTCTCCATGGACTCGGCCTTGGAGACGCTGCTCCACGACTCGGCCTTCATGACCGACTCCTTGAATCGTCCCCAGCCTTTAGCTTTGGCCGGCTCTGCGGATTTGCAGTCGATCAGGTTTCCATTTTGGGTGGCCGGAGCGTGGAGCATGACTCGGCTGGAGGTCTTGGATGAAGAGGTTGTGGTGGTGGAGGTGGTGGGTGTGGCTGGGCTCTCCGTCACCATAACTATACTGGTGGAGGCCAGGATCTTTGGACCTCTGGGCGGCTCCAGGGGAACGACACCTTTCTCCACATCACCGGCGCTTTGTATGACCTGCTCAGTGGCGAGCCGGGCCTCCCTCTGCTGCCGGAAACGCTGGAAGAGTCGTCGGACCGGATGATCCGGAGGAAGGTTCAGAGGAGCCTCATTCTTCCGCTTCAACATCTCCTCTTCCTCACGTTTCACATCACTGATCTTCCGGAAGACGATCTGTAAAAAGGCAGGAAACCAGAAGAAACAGTCAGAACGGTTTCACTATGCCAAATAAATATCTTCACTTCTTCCCCCCTAAACTACCGCTAAAAAAATAAAAGACTCTGGCTGCAGCAGTTGTGTTGGATGCTGGACTTCTGTGACTTAACATCCAAACAGCTAAAAACAGTTTGTGACACGAAAGGTGATTCTTCTCTACAAACCCAAAATGGACACACATTCATTTAACCAATGGATCTGATTCAGAAAGACATGGTTTATGCACTGTACGGACATCATGATAATAAAGCTTTTAGTACACGGTGAAGACTTGTTGGCCTGTTAGCCACCAGGGCAGCATTAGCTTGCTTGCCTATTGAAAGTTAAAAGCCAGCTAGCTTGCAGAGGTACTAGCTATGACAACAAAAAAACGCTAGATAAAAAGTCAAGAGGATCACCAAAGACAGTAGGGTTCATCCTCTGTTGACCATGAATGTTTGCACCAAATTTCATGCCAATCCATTTAATAGCTGTTTGGACCAAAGTGGTGGCTCAGTGGTCAACACACAGATTAAAAACCCAGTTGAGCTGGAAAGTATTAAGGTTTTGACCTCGTGGAGTTTATCTAGAAACAAGAATGACACTACTGTCATTTAAACCCTTAGTATTAAATGGCTTGTAATTGAATTATCTGCACTAAACAATAATGTTTTTGATCTTATTTCAAGACAGCTGGACATCCTGCCTTACTTTAAGAAATATAATCAAGTGAAAATCTCCTATTTAGCTTGTTTCAAGGACGTTGCAGTGTTGCATGAACACATTGTAACAACAGCTTCTCTAATATAACCAGTGTTCACTCCAGGTGAGAAGTTCATGTTCATGACTTTAACACCGTAGGACCGTCAGCTACATGTGACCTCCTAACCTCTGCTGAGTCTGACTGGGACTTTATTCTGCAGCGGCAGCGAGAGGAGGCGGCGGCGACGACGAGGCTTTCCCGCTCAGCGATGTCATCACTATGTTAAAACCCCTGAGCCAATCGGGGAGCTCCTGACCTGCAGAAATTGGATCTTGTGGACGAAGCAGCAGCAGCTGGACGGTTCTATCAGAGAGCCCTCAGGGGTGACGAGAACAGAGGAACACGGAACGTGAGAGAACTGCTAATCTTCAACAACTGCTGCTCCGTTTCTGCCGATACAAACACAATACATCAGACTGCTGCTCCGACACACTCTGCGCTGCATTCAGGTGTAAACACACAAAAGTCTGCAGGGACTCAGTTATTAAAATGTTAAGCACGCAATAACCGATTATTTTACCCGCTTGGTCTCAGCAGAAACAAGTAGTGAACACAACGTCAACATGTCATCAGCTTTTCAGATGATATGTTGAACTTGTTTCCACCTCCAACATGACCATTCATTAGTGGTTCACGAGTGGTGTTTGTGTCCACCTGATATGTTCTCCAACACTCTTTCTGCTCTGTTTTTGGTCTCCACCGTCTCTTAAGCTGCTAAATGCTCCACTATGTTCACATAGTTGGTCTCTAACTGTGTCTGTCCGCTGCTGGATGTCTTTGACCTGAAAATGAGACAGCAGGTTAGCTTAGCTTAGCATAAAGATCCACCTAGAAGCTCTTCTTAAGCTCACTAATTAACATGTTCTATCTCGTCTGTTTAATCTGTACAAAATCAACATGCTGTGGTGGTTTATGTGCTGGTGCAGTGACTTCCTTGAGTCTTGTTGTAAGTGTGACATGCGAGTAAAGGACTAGAGTGTAGTTGAAGTGAGGTGCCGTTATACTTGTCACATCCAAAAGTTGTGGAGAGGGCCAGTATCACGCTTTAATAGCTCTTCGAAAAACATCTTTGACAGCTAAATCAATTCTTTGCTTTCCACAATGTGCCCAGTTCAAACAATTTGAACCAAACTGCTGGCTTCATATAAAAACATCTTGCCCAAATAATTTGCTCCATTTAAACCTTGTAAAGAAGCATAAACGCAGTTAGTCTTGGGTTTAATTTTACTTTTAAGAAGCTGTTTCCTGGCTGAACATTTATTTAGTTGATCTGATTTCTTCAGCCTTCAGGAAGAAAATGTTCAAAAAATAAATCCAGTTGTTTCTCGGTGTAGTTTGTCAACTTATGACGTCTTATCCTTCGAACAAGCTGTGTGTCGCGCAGCTCAACACAAATTCTCCTTTTTTCTTGATTCCACAGCAGTGGTACTTTCTCAAAAATCCATAAAAACAGAATTGCAATTACGTCACCACATTAGCTGTTTTGTTTGTTTTTTTTACTGAGGCTGAACGTGAGAGTAAAAAACTCTTGATTTAAATGGTATGAGGTCAGTCTTCGTCTGAGTGTGCTGTGATGCTGCCCTCCGCTGTAGCTGGAGGGTTTGGAGGTGAGAGCTGCCCTGGCAGGTCATTTCTCTTCACCAGCGACAGTATTGCACAGCCAAGCAGAACAGGACACGATGGCTTTCACATGAGAGGGAGAGAGAGACAGACAGACAGACAGAGACAGAGATACAGAGAGAGAGAGGCTTCGCTATCATCAAAGTATTTTATTCCAAGCTCTCCTCGTTCGTTTTTTATCTGATTTCATCCAAAGAAAAAAGTCTCTTTACTTTAAATATTTTGGTTAAATAATTTGGTCCATTTCATATTTCGTAAAAAAAAAAGCTTAAACAGCAGTTTCCTGTCCGAACATTCATTTAGTTATTCTGATTTTCTTCAGCCTGCAGGATGAATATATTCAGCCAGTGTGGAGGAATAAATCCACTCTATTCTCTCGTTGTGGAGGACGTAGTTTGTGGTGCTGTTGAGGTGTTAGTTTTAGCAAGGTGTACATAATAAACTGAACACTGAGTGGTATATGCTTTATACATCTACATGTTGTCTGCGCTGTGGTTTATACATGATTCTCCTGTTGTATTTCAGATGTTTTTCTTTCCCCTATGGCGATCAAATAATGTTCTTAACTCATCTTATTTTAGTTTTTGCACTATGTTCTTAGTAGTCTGAAGGGTCGATAAAGAAATAGAAACTTTTTTTTTTCTAGAATTTTGCTCCACTATTTACTTCACAACGTCCTTCACTTTGCTTCTCTGATATCTGACATGTTACGAGTACAAAAGGTAGTTAAGAGTAATACAAAGTGTAATACGATAGCAGATGTGAGAGTGCGTTGAAGTTTTAATCTTTGTGGTTTAAAGCCCCTGGTAACATGTTTCTCTTCAGCCTAACTGAGCTGAACCGAAGGGTTGAACAGAGCAGAGTGTGTTTGCATCCGTCGAGGTGTGAACACAGCCGCCTGTCATCATCCACCTCCGCACTGTTTGGCTTAGCCGACGTCGCACCTGCTCTGTGGAGGACGACGAGCTGAGAACAAAGCAGCTTATGTAAAGTCTTCAGTGTAAAATAAAACCCGACGACAACAGAGCGGCTCCAGCGTCGAGCTGCAAGACGATCCGAGGTCATGTGACTCAAACACCCTCGGCTCGACACACATTCATGTTCGTCCACGTGGTTTTTGTTCCCTTTGGTTTGAACTTAGCAGCATTTGTTGGGTGTTTTTATTTCATCACAGTTAAAAGTCTGAATGGTACAAAGTCCTTTTTACAAATAGATGTTATTTTGTATGAAGGGTTTGTTTTACATGCTGTTCATCCAGACTGACAACTGAAGGAGCAGAACGAGAGAAAGATCGCTCTGAGCAACAGTTAAGAATAGAAGAAATCAAAATGTGTGCAGATTTAAATATGAACAGTTTCCTGTTTGAGAATAAAGATTTTCACAATAATGCAGCTAATAACAAGATGGAATAAACAGGCAACGTGTTGCTTTAGCAAAGCTCTTCTTCAAACGTCACAAGAGAAATAAAAGGTTAGTGTAGGGTTAGCACTATTAGAATATCAGCTGATCACACTCTGGACTGACACATCACAGTTTAAACCTCGACAGTCTAACACCGAGTAGACTGCAGAGGGCCCAAAGAAATATGTCTTCTCTAAATATTTAGAGCCCACCGATGTGGTTCAATAATGATGGACGGTCTCCGATGCCTTTCTGGACTGGAAAACAAATTAAAAATCCAAGTTCCAACAGTGTTCTCTGCTGACATGCAACACGGTGGGGACATCGATCAAATGGAAGTTTGAATTATTAAATTGTTCTTTTGGGGCCAAAACTATCTGAAATGCAATCAATACATTTGTTTTCATCTCTCTTAAAGGATAAAAATGAATATAACATCTGATTCATAACTTTTTAACTGTAGTGTCTATTTAAAGATAACAAATGTCTTTGTTAAATGAGCCTGTGGAGTGATGAGGTGTGCAGACTCACCCTCTTCCTCAGGTTGTAGGTGAGCACCAGGTTCCTGGCGAAGTGGTTTGCGAAGGCGGAGTAAAACTCCAGGACTTTCTGCAGCGCGTCTCGTTTGATGATGTGGAGGTCGCAGTACGTCAACGCTCGCACGTTGGCGCAGGACTGCGCCAGCGTCATCTCCTTCCAGAACACGTCGCCGAACACGTCACCTTTACCTGCGGACACACAGAGACGGACGGACAGGTGGGTCGCGGATCGTCTCTCCGCCGTGACATTTTAACAGCAGATCTGAGGAGTCAAATATCATCCACATGAACATCTGAAACGTCTCCGGGAGAGTCACCATCTCCTTCCACTGAACATCTGCCAACACACCAAAACACAACTTAATTCAACCTTTCCAGAGGAACATGTGACACTTCTTGAAACCTAATTTGAATTAGAAACAGGTGAATTAACTTTCTGAAGTGTCATTTTTTGGCAGAAAACAACATTTAACATCTAATATTAAAAGTCAAAACAACTTGTTTTCTCTGGGAAACATGTGACCGTTTCTCTTTTTAAGAGGTAAAACTCTAGCCAGTGCTGCTGGAGACCTTTTCTCTTCGCCAAGCCCCTCTGAAGAAGGACCTGCTCTGCTTCTACAACTGTTTCTGTGGGAACAGATTAGTCCGTTTCTGCTGGGAAACATTTCACAGTTTGATCTTCCAACAAACGCAAAGGTCCGTCTCCTCTGGCGGAATAAACGGATCAATGACAACACATCAGAGGGTCACAATGATGAGCGCTGACACCAATGACGCAGCAGAGCGCTGTGGCGAAAACACACTCTCATCAGAGTGTTGAGGAGCTTCGATGCAGCTGCTTTAAGAAAACTAAATGTGAAAAGAGGAAGCGAAGCACATGGACTTTAAATAGTTCCTAATGTGATGTGAAACTAGAGGCGTTTCTGAGAGACCTGCAGAGAAAGTCTAAATATTTATCCAGAAGAAGGCGATTCCGTCTGCTGATAAAACCTCTCTTCTGGTAATTATCTGGAGATAAAAGCAGATATTTAAAAGGACTGAAACAAGTCAGTGAGAGGCCGTCGGTCTCACTTCCTCTCAGCATCTCAGCCTCAGCACGTGGACCCGTGAGTCCCAGGCTGCATGTTGTAATAACGATCAGCTGAGAGGTAAAAACAGTTCACTCAGTGTAATTCAGGCTTTCTGAGTGCTACAAAGTCTCCCAGATATAACTCCAGCGTCTACAGATTGCTGGCAGTGATGTCTACATACAATCCAATGTTATATTTCGCTCATTGTTCCTTGTGTGTTTGTATCTGGTTTGAAATGTAAACCAACCACTACAAACAGGTAACACAATACAAGTTATTTATACTTACTTAACTACAGACGTCAGAGGGGATAACCATGTTGGAATTATGTGGCAATGATGCAAAGTCAGAATAAGATGAGGTTCTCCTGGTCTGCTGATGTTAATGCAGGATCAGACTGTTTATCAGTGTATGTGGTAGGATTGCAGGTAACGATTATTTCATTATCGATTAATCTACCGATTGTTTTCTCAATTAATCGATTGATATCAGTTATTATAGGGTTTTGAATTTATAGTTTGTAAGATTCGAATCCCTTCAACCAAAGGAAGCAGGGAGGATGTAATCACGGGTCTGAGTTTGATGTCAACGCGACGTAAGTCGAGTGCAAGTTAACCTGTCACCACAAAGTCACAAGCTATGCAGATTTAGGCGAAATATGATGGAGAGCCACCACAAAGAAAAGGAAATGCAGCTACAACAAAGACTGGGAAGACTTTGAGGTACTTGTACTTAACTTGCGTATTTCCATTTAATGTTCTTTGAAATAGAAATATGGATGAGAAGTCAGAGGATCAGTAGGTGATTAGCTTCCTTTCATCCGAGTTGTTCGTATTGTAAACAGACAGACGATGAGACATCATCAGAGCCTCACAGATGTTTTATGCAAACAGAAAGCCGAGTCTCTGCCTGCACACTGCCGGCAGAATCTGTAGCATATGTATCAGGGAGTTAAAGAGCTCAAAGGTTTTGTGAACACGCTGGGTGATTTGCAAAAGGACTCTCGCAGCTGTTCGTTCAGCCGTGCTCCGCCTCAACTGCTTCCTCCATCATCTTTCATTCTGTTTGTTTCCCTCCCTCCGTCAGTTCAAGAAACCAGGCGGCATGTTTTAAAAAGAAAGAAAACACTTCATGCATAAAACCGATGCTTTGCTAATGAGCGCCCTGGAGCATGATTCCACGGCACACTGACAAAAATAGCAAAGATATTTGGTTTTGATGCAGCGAGGGAGAAGTGGAACGTCTTTATGTGGCAGGTGACTCAGAAGGGTTCGCCGTTCTTTTGTTTTCGGGGCTCAGGTGTTTCCTCCGGCGCCAGGTGGTGTCAGCAGGCAGCAAAAACACAGTTTCCATTCTGCGTCTCACATCCAGACTAAAAGAATATTTATTTTGACCCAGCTGAGGGAGCTTTCATAACCCTCACAGAAGTGTTGATGGATGAGTCTGACTGGCAGAAGTGGACTGTGTTTCTGACAGGAAGTCTCTTAGTAAAGACACCTCCACTGTCACCGTGGCTGACGATTAGACTTCAACCCTTTGATTGACCGTTTGATGTTTGGAGGTGTACTTCGTTGTGTCCTGCATTTTGGATTTTACACATTCAAACATTTTTTACTGCGTCACGAGGTTGGCCAGCAGGAGTTTTGTTGTCACCGTTGAAAAATCTATATTGATTTTGTTCGATTTCTGATTACATTTTTGAGTTTTTGTACAATATAATTTTTTTTAAATACAGCTCAACCAGTTTGAGAATTTGCTAGTTTTCTCCATTTCATCTGGTTGTAAATATGGATTTTTTTTGCCTGAAAAAGCAGTTGGATAAATACTTCGGAAACTTAAATTGGGTTTTCGATAAACGCGATTACTCTGAAAGTGTTTAAAGATGAATCTACAATGAAAATAATTAACTTCTTGAGTACTGCTGATGCATGGTGTATGTTTGCTCTGACTCAGCATCACTAAAAGACAAATCAGAGGATACATACAGACAGCATCAGACTGAGGTTTATATAGAGTTCAGACGTTTTCAGGTGTTCATTGAGGAACCAAACTCACCTAAAATGGCCACCACCTCTTCGTCCTGGATGACCTCCAGTGACCCCGACACCACGAAGCAGAGGCTATCCACGCTCTCTCCGGCGTGGAAGATGAGGTCGCCCGGCGCACTGTGGACGGTCTGGAACTCCATGGCGAGGGCTCGCAAGCAGCCGTCACTGGCCAGCCGGAACGCCGGGTGTTCCTTGAACACCTTCCTGTTGAGGTGGACGCAGATATCCGCTCGCATGTCCTTCGGACAAATCTGCAGCACCTGCAGACAAAGGGAGGTCACACTAAGGTCTAACTAAATCAAACCGAGGTCTAACCAAGGTATTGTGCTCTCTCCAAACACAGTGAGGCGGTGACATCACATCTGCATGTCTGTGGCATCACAGTGAATCACCTCTGTAGAGAAACCGAACAGGTGGTGAAGTGTTACCTTGTCAGTGTCGATGCCTCTGGACATGGACCAGGTGGACACGATGTAGTCCATCACCCTCTCGCTGAGGCCTTTGGGGACCTGGTAGAGTTTGAGGAAGTCTCTCACGCTGTTGAGCATCTCGTGGTAGCGGTTGGTGTTGGCGTACATCTGCTGGAAGATTGTGGTGACGTTACCGAAGATGGTTGCGTACAGCAGCGCTGGTAACAAGAAGCAAAGAACATTTACTTTTCATCTACAATACAGGACTGTGAAGACACTTATGTTGCACTCAGGAGGTTGCAGGCTTATGTTACAGGGGAAACGGTTGTGGCTGATGGTGCCGAGTCAAGCTTCCCTGTGAGCCAGACCAATCTGCGAGCTCATGTTTTATTCTCTCTGGCAGATGTGCTGGTCCCCTCTCCGCTCTGGACAGTTTTCCAGAGCGGCTCAATCACAACAGTTTATCTAATGTGGAGCGTTTTTGAGACAAAAAAAAAAAAAACCAAAGAGGAGCGACAACCAAGATGATGAAGCCGCTAACGCGTCAGGATCAAACAAACAAAAGAACGGCCAAACTAACTCACATCTCTTCTCTCATTTAAATATCTTAAAACCCAATCCAACAGCTATTTAACCTTTAGATATCCCATACAAAGTAATCTTGGCAGAACTGTAGTTTCAGGTACAATGCACAATTTAAATGGAATGACCTGATTATTTTATACTGTTACGGGTGTAAACAACAACAATTCCTCCACTCATGCAGCATTTAAGGGCCTTTGACGGTTGAATAGCTGTGACTGATGCAGCATTCAAGTTGAAATGCCGCCAAAGTTTTGATGGTTTCTAAGATTTGTATTGCCCGTCTTTGATTCAGCTCGTGGTGCAACAGTGATTACTGTCTGTGCAGCGGTCCACTGATGAAATAAAAAGTTCACTTCAGCCCTGAAATACTCGTCTCAGTCTGAGAGGCGACATGATCGGTCAGGTGTGTCTATCGACAGATTAACTGTTAGTGTTCCAGCTCATCAATACGAACTGGTGCAGTCCGTCCCTGACTCAGCTCCCCTCCCTCACAGCCTGTCAGCAACCCGGGGTCACCGGATCGATACCGACGCCGTCCACCAGCAGCAGAAACATGGCGTCATCCACTGTCAACACCCCCCCCGACAACACGCAGCTCCGACTGAAAGTGTCCGAATCACAACGCAGGACTCACTGTGACCTTCTTATATAAGGTCCCTGTTCAGTCTCAACACAGCGGTGGTGCCGAGCTAACGCTGACACAGCAACAGCAGGTCCAGAACCAGAGCCAGGTCCGAAGGATCCCCACTGAGAGCCAAGGTGTTTGTGTTATTCTCATCTTACTGAGCAAAAGATAGGAACACAAATAATAATCCAATAAAGATCCTCCTCACACCTGAACAACACGTTTAGACCTCGGTAATCTCTATGTACTGTCAGGTACAAACAAGCCAACAGAACACACACTAATGATGATAGTTAAACAACAAACAAACAAACCAAATAATACTAAATAATAAACAGACCAACCAAATACGATATACAATGTTCTCCTTGAACTGGCCTTAATGAACACTATTAATTTAGCCTCCATTGCTTATTTGCTTTGCAAAATATACAAGTTGTTCATCATGTTCGTTATTATCTTTATCAAAAATGTGTCATTGAGCAGCTGGTCAGTTCCATCATCTTGTTGACTTTTCTTTGATGAGACAGTTCCTGATTTAAATGTTACAGCGTTAATTTAGACAAAGGTTGTCAAAGATTGCTGCTCGTGTTTAAACACTGGACATTATTCTGTTCCCAGAGAAACACGGCTGTATTTATCAAAGTAGGGAATCAATACAAAACGTTATTATTTTGTAAACTTTGTAAGCGTTTGCTTTTGGTTGGACTTATTGAAAAGCGTTGGAAATGTTTTGCACGAGTCCTCGTTTACCCCAAATCTCGAGCGGCGAGTTCAAATTCAGGACAAGCCACATAGAGATAATCATTAATTATCATAATAATAATAATAATAAATCTCCTGGTTTGGTCCGGTCTCTCTGAAAGCAGATGGAGGATGCTCGGGGAAATAAAATGGACCGGCTATTTCTGTCCTTCCTCTCAGATCCCGTCCTGATGTCACGGCGAGCATTACAACGCTCACACTTGCTATGCTAATGACCCCAAACTCACATCCTGGATCCAGGCTGTCATAGCAACTGCTTCCCATCAGCCTCCAGCAGCACTTTTTGTGGGCCAGGAAGCTGACAAGGGGGGGGGGGGGTTAATCCAATACTCAGCTTCCTTCAGTGTTCCTCATGAATCTAAATAGGAAAGCAAAAGGTTTACCCGGACTGCAGCGTTCCCTAATACAGCCTCCGAGCAGTGCCTCTCTACATGAGCCCCAGAGGGACAAACTGCCAGAGCTCACCACTCACAAACAGGAAGTCAAACTGGGTCAGAAGTTCACTCTGTGACTTCCTCATTTCATTTAAATAATGTTATTCATGAATCATACATTCTGTGTCATTTACGAATGAGAGAGATGTACTGTAGCCTCTATTGTAGGTTTAAACAAACTGTCTGACTGTTCTGTTTGAAGCGAGAGACGAGTGACGCTGGTTGGAGGTGATGACTGGCGATGAAGATCGAGAGGTTACGAGAGGAAGACTAACGATGTGACACGAGGCGACGGCAGCTTCCGATGAAGGAGACAAATTGTCAACATTAAAAGCTCTTCGTCCTCCAGCTCAGTGAGGGAAAGCTTTTACCTGCAGGTGTACTGGGAAACCTCCAAAAACATGTGAAGGGTCTGTCTACCCTTCACTACTGTCCGTCTACCTTTAGTGTTAGAAACGGACTGTCTACCTTTAAAATGTAAAGAGTTCATCGTCGGGAGAGCAGGAATGTGATCAGGACATCTCGTGGAAAGTTATTGATTGGATTATAAGATATCTGTCATGCAAAAAACAAGTTCATCCTCTTGGGATCCTGAATATCGTCAGAAAATGTAATTTAAATCCGAATTCATTTCTTCTCTACTGCGGCTGGTAAAGCTGTTGACAGCTGAAGTTACCACACGGCTCAGACACACGTTCACATCTGATAATACAGTGCAGAGCTGATCAGTCACCTCCAGCTCTCAGGCGTCGTGCTGAGCAGCTGGATGTGTGCAGACTGCAGCAGACAGCAGGGAGGACCTGAGTCCAGCTGATCCGACAGTCCAGTTAATATTTCAGTGTGGAACTCCACCGCGGCAGAGCGCACCGTGTCAGATCACATCGACATCGCTGAGGAAACAACTGCTACCGCTGAGGCCGTCCGTCTGTCAGGACACCAGACAGGCCTCTCTAAATCTGTAAAGGTCACCTGCCACCATGACAGATGTTTTTTTAAAACAAGTCAAAGTGGTCAGGGATGAAGGTTACATGTCATATTTCTATTGTCTGGTGCCACCGACTCGGTGTTACAATTCAGATAACAGATAGTAGAAACATTGCTCTTTAAAAAACAGCGACAACGAATCAATCTGAGTCTAATGTGTTCTGATGCTTTTAGAGGTATACTATGTAGTGTTGTCGGTTGCACTTTGTAAACACAGACAGAGAGCAGTGGTTGAATGAAGAGAGGGAGCGGCATGAGCGAGAATAAATCAATGAATCTGAGAAATAAAATGTTATTTTCGGATTGTTACACTGTGTTTTTTCCCTCTAAAGCACGATCAAACACACCCACAGCTCCGCACAGCCCTGAGCCGCATTGCCGGATTTTGAATGAACGCAGCCAGAGCGCCGGCTTCATCCTGTCTGCCGTGGCCTCTCTGCGCCGTGTGTCGGCTCGGGTCAAACTGACAAGCCGATAGCGACTCACAGCAGTGTGTCCGGAAACTCCTCGAACGCAGCAAAATAAGAAGAGAGGAGGAGATGCAGGCAGAGGGGAGGGTCTCTGCAGATACAGGCAGACGTAAACACCGGAGCTGGAAGCCCCAATTAGAGAGAGTTATGTCTAAGGCCAGGGAGACGTGTCAGCGTGGCTTCGGGTATGGAAATTGGAAAGTTCCTGTCAGTGGGAAGAGGAAAAAGCAACCTGTATTTAGTATTTTCAGTTCCATAAGAGATGCTCTTCAGTTTTACTGCGACATGTTGCCTCAGTGTTCGTACAGTGTAATATAGAAGTGTTGGAAATGTTCCTTATTCTTAAAATGAAAACAGTTTATGTTCCGTATGTTACCTCAGCATAGCAGATGATTTGTCCGTCTTGGACACTTACGTCCCCGTCTGTCTGTTACTGTCCTTATGCATTTGTTTTTATTCCACTGTGACTGTGGTGTATCATTACACCCCTCGCTTATAAGCGAAGATGATTCTAAATATCTACATAAAACACTTTCCTCAATATTTAAACGGAAGTTAAAATGAAAACAAAAGAGTGATCTGATCTGCAGAGTCTGACAGTGTGAGTTTTATCCGAGTCTGTAAATCTCAGTCTTTGTGTGTCGGACGACTGAGTCGACCATCAATAAATTATTGACAGACCGGTCTGATTCTTACGTTTTCCTCTCCTCCGTCTGTGTACAGAGGGATTGTGGGAAGTGACGTTGAATTTGCCGAGGAAAGAGGGATGGAGGACGCGGTCCCCGACGTCTGGAGGTTGAACAAGGTCCTTCATGTTAACTCACACACACACACACTTGTTTATGTCTGTGTGGTTTAAAGGTTTGAGCGATGAGAATGATGATTCCTGTATGTTAACATCAACATAAATAACACATTGTGAGGAAGTTGGTAAAAACAACTCGTGTATTATTCACACGCAGACGGATCACAGCACAGATTACTAAATCCCTGGATGGAGTGAGTCACTCTGATTCCTGGTCCCTGTCTGACTCTACAGAAGGTGATTAAAGGCTGAAATTATTGATCTGATATGAACTACAAATACCGCCTCGCAGTGGAATGCCTCCGCCAGCCAGTCGAGTTGCAGTTTACATCCACGTCTGTCAGAAATGTCATCACTTCATCATTTTAATCTGTTAGAAATGTGTGTGAAACTGTCATTATTAGCATATCAATCCTTGAGTTATGGTCCAAGATTTTATTATCGTCACAGTGACCTTTGTAATCAGTTCATCATTTAGAAAAGTGGACGTTTGTGCCAAGTTTGAAGAAATTCCCTCAAGACCTTCGTGAGATATCGTGTTCACAAGAATGGAGCGGACGGACGGACAACCCGAAAACATAATGCTTCCGGTCACTGCTAATTCAAACTTTTGACTGTATCTCCTGAAACTGACGTGACGCGGTGCACCGGAGAGAAGACGTCTCACTCTGTTGGATTTGTTGGAACCACATAAACACTCGTGGTTGTACAGAGTGGAGCCTCTTCCCTCATTCACAGTCTTTGAAGCACACAGACACCGGCTCGCAGAGAGCACTTTAATCGGACAACAGCCAAGTTTAATTTTGGCCTGTTATCAAGTTACTCTCACAATCAGCGACAGCTGATATGAGCTGCTGCCGGTGACGTTTGTCGGCTGAAATGGAGAAGCTGCTTCCGGAACGTTTCTACACGGATCTCTGCCGGTGATGAGACAGAGCGAGTCGGAGGTGAATCTGTAACATGTTAGTTTGATAATCAGTGTGTCAGAGCCGGTGCAAACAAATACATTCACGTCCACCAGCGGTGCAATGTATATAATACGTACGTTTATTTAAGGACTGCTGTAGACAGCTGAAACAATTAACCAATTAGTTGATGGACAGAAAAATAAAGTCATATGGTTTGAGTCATTTTTTTTATGTAAGAACATTTCATGGTTCCAGCTTAACAAATGTGAAAGTGTGCGCTATTTCTTTTAATAATGTAATAATAACTGTAATGTATTAGTAATAATGTTGAAGTTTGGAATGTTGGTCGGACTAAACAAACATTGAGAAGGTGTCACTTTTGGACTCTGAGTAATTGTGACAGTTTTTCATTTTACAAACAATAAATCGATTAATGGAGAAAATAATCAGCAGATGAATCCATAATGAAGATAATATTAGTTATTAGTTCAAAATTAGATTTAACTACAACAGTAAAATCCTGCTTTTACATTAATGCAAGAGGGAAAATAAACAAATGAGGGGACATTTTTCTACTTACATTAAGTAGTTAATTCCTTACTTTTACTTAAATCAAGGGTGAGAATACTTCTTCCATCACTGCTATTCTCACACTCTCAGCGTGTGAGCAAAATGCTGCAGTGACGCCTGCAGCGCGGCAACACCAGCAGGACGAGGTGACAAAACACAGAAGCCTTCAATAAAGAAAGGATCTCTGAGCCATGAACTTATGGCTGGATCGGCCATCAGACATCTGTGTAGCTGCAGAGCCGACACACACAGCCGTGTGTTGGAAAACACAACTACACCTTAGAGCTACATCTGCCATGAAAACACCACATTATGTTGTTTTTCTGACGGTGGAAGAGACTGTTTAGAGTGACGACAAGACAAACCTCTTCGTGGCTCTAAAAGGAGTTGGTGGAGACCCAAGTCAGAGCGAATAATGGGCTTAAATTCATCAGGTGGACACAAACACAAACTCCTAATGTCAGTGGTTCAGACCCCTCCCGACATCTGCTTTACTTCTGTTATCTGTTTTTGTGCTGTTGTATAGGCTCTGTGCAAACAAAACTAAAACCATTTATTTCGCACATGATCGCAATTTAATTTGAGCGACTGCTTATTATATAATCTGTATATAATAATTATAGGGACTACATCTGGCCCGCATCGATAGCTATGAAAGGAAACGACTCACATCCGATCATCATCATGGCCACAGCGAAGATCTTCTCTCCGTCCGTGTTGGGCGCGATGTTGCCGAAGCCGATGCTGGTCAGGCTGGTCATGGTGAAGTACAGCGAGGTGATGTAGACCGAGTCCTTGCTGGGCCCCCCCTCCCAGCGGCCCAATCCCGAGGTGTTGAACCTGTACGGCGTCCCCACCGTCTCTCCCAGCAGGAACAGCCAGCTGTCCGTCCTCACGCTGTTGGTGTCCTCGTCGATCACCTCGTAGTCTCCGATGCTGAACCAGATGCAGGCCAGCCAATGGGCCGCCAGGCCGAACACACACACCAGTAACACCAGTACGGCGGCACCGTACTCGATGTAGTGGTCCAGCTTCCTGGCGACGCGACCCAAGCGCAGCAGACGGACCACTTTAAGGGAGCTGAAGAGACTGCTGATCCCCTGGAGAGGAAGAGGAGGGAAGACATGAAGAAATGAGGAAAAGATGAAAAAGATAATGAAGAAAACAAAGAGGGAAAAGAACAGAGGGGAAAGTCTCATTTATTATTTCAAAATTTTGATTTTCAAGCCAAGAGCGCCAAGTTTCACCGGAAGGATGTTCTTCCTGTCAGAGAGGAAAAGTTCCTGAAACATTCGGACCATCGTGGGAAACTAAAAGGTCCTTTCACAGCTGAGTGGTTCGGATAGGTTCAATCAAACTCTGCTGCTTTCGCCCGCTTGGTTTGGTTTGTTTGGGCGGTTGTGAACTGGATCAAACTACCAGACTGAGACCGGCAGAAAAGGAGGATCAGAGTGAACCGATGTTGTTCGTTTGTGGTCTGAAAACAAAGCGGACCAACCACAGGTTGTCACAATCACTTATTTCCCCGTGAGCTCTTTGTGAGAACACAAATAAACACACCAGGTTCTGATGGGATGAGCTCCAAATGCTGTATGGCCTGAGGACGCACAATTACGTCACCAACACTGTCCAATCAATGCTCTTTGTTTGTTTGATCAGAAATAAAAAAGTAATAATCAATGTTTTTATGTTATGAAACTCCCCGTAAACATTTTCTAAATGTGTCTCTTTGTTGATTGGAAGCTGTTTTTATGTTTGAGTGGAAACATTTATTGATGCTTTTATTTTGTAAATGCTTTTAGTGATTGTAAATGCTGCACTGGAACACACCGAACATCTGCATGTTGGATCACAGACTCGCGTTTTATCTTTCTCATTGTTTTGTCCTTTTTTTCATGTAAAGATAAATAATCACATCGTTAATGCTCAGCTGACGTTTTAAATGCTGATAAAAAAACAAAAACGTATTTCCTGACGAAGCTGTGTGACGCTTATTAAATATAATTTATCATCAGAGAAAGCCAACATCACAGAAGGTAAGACCACCGCAGTCCTCTCTGCTTGGGTTCAATGTATTGATTGATTGATTGAATGACTGGTTGGTCATCTAGTTGATTTCTTTTGATTGAGGCAGTCCTCTAACTGGGCTGAACAGCTTGTAGGCTTACCAACTGTAAATCAACTAATCAAGAGGTTTCATGTAATATGAAGCATTATTCTTGAATTCTTTTTTGTAGCCACATGTCTGTATGCACTGATTGTAAGTCGCTTTGGATAAAAGTCTCAGCAGAATAAATGTAAGAGCTATTCTACAGCAAATCTTTTAGCACTGATGAGGATTCTTTTGTTTTCATCCAACTATTCACTTGATTAGTACGATATCATTACTGATGGAAACAATGGTCTAAACTACCAACGGAAGACCCAGGTTATCTTTACATAAACAACGAAAACAAAACAAGAGAATAACCGTTAAATATCAGACATAAAGAAAAACAAAAAGCCAAGAAGTCGGGAGTTGATCTTCTGCTGTACTGTATATATTCACACGTTGTGGACCTTCAACTCTTTGCGTTATTTATTGGTAAATATCTATTAAATGGTAAATGGACTTTTATATAATAATAATAATAATAATACATTTTATTTATATAGCGCTTTAAAAGGCACTCAAAGACACTTTACATGTTAAAAACAGAAACAATAGAAGCATTTATAATAAGAACAAAATATACGACATAACTAAGAAAAAAAAATAAAATAAAATAAACATGAAAAGAAAGAAAGAAAACATACAGTACATGACTGACTTTAGAGGTTAAAAGCAGATTTGAATAGGTGAGTTTTAAGTGCAGAGTTCTGGATGTATTGTAGTTTATTGATGATTTTGGTGGGTGAGCCGTACAGGATGCTGTTGCAGTAGTCCAGTCGAGAGGTGATGAAGGCGTGGATGAGTGTTTCGGAGACGGGCGATGTTTTTGAGATGAAAGAAGGCGGTTTTTGTGATGTGATTGACGTGGCGTTCATATGAGAGAGTTTGATCGAAAATGATCCCGAGGTTACGGACATGTGTGGAGGCAGGAACAGTGGTGGGAATTGTTTAATGATTTGGGGCCGATGATGAGGACTTCAGATTTGTCGGTGTTGAGTTTGAGGAAGTTTGCTTGCATCCAGGTTTTTATATCCGTTAGGCAGTTGGTGATGGTGGAGTGGATGGTGGGGGTAATGGATTTGGTGGAGATGTAGAGCTGGGTGTCGTCAGAATAGCAGTGGTACTGGAGACCATGGTGGCGTATGATGTCACCAAGGGGGAGCAGGTAGAGGATGAAGAGGAGGGGACCGAGTACTGAACCTTGGGGGACACCTTGAGAGACTGGGGCTGTGTCAGACTTGAATTTGTTGATGCTGATGAACTGTTCACGGTCGGAGAGGTATGATTTAAACCAGGAGAGGGCTGTGCCAGTGATGTGGAGGGAGGACTTGAGACGGGAAAGGAGGATGGAGTGGTTGATGGTGTCGAAGGCTGCGCTGAGGTCGAGCAGTATCAGGATGTTGAGGGAGTGTTCATCAGAGGAGAGGAGAAGGTCGTTGGTGACTTTGATGAGGGCAGTTTCTGTGCTGTTATGAGATCTGAATCCGGATTGAAATGGTTCATACAGTTGGTTTGAGTCCAGGTGAGTTTTCAGTTGATGGGCAACGGTGCGTTCCAGTATTTTAGACAGAAAATCTGTGCGTTCCAGTATTTTAGACAGAAAAGGGAGATTGGAGATGGGTCTGTAATTGTTGTGAATGTCGGGGTCAAGGCCAGGTTTTTTGAGGATGGGTGTGACTGAGGCGAGTTTGAGGGCGGGAGGGACGGAGCCAGTAGACAGGGAGGAGTTGATGACAGAGAGGAGGTGCTGGCAGAGGGCCGGGAGACAGGCCATAACTAAAGTGGAAGGGATAGGGTCGAGGTCACAGGTCGGAGTCTTCATGCCAGAGAGTGATTTATTGAGATCCGAGGGGGAGATGAGAGAGAATCGGAAGAGTGACCGGTCAGTTAGTGGAGGATTTGCCCCAGGCTCCCCGGGCGCCTGTCATTGGCAGCCCACTGCTCCCTATATACAGGGATGGGTCAAATGCAGAGACAAATTTCCCCCTTAAAGGGATCAATATAGTATAATAAATTTTTTTTTAAAAATTAAAAAATTCACACACGATTCATCACTGATGCAGCAGAATCAATTATCTTGTCCAAAAACCGCATCGACATGCGGACTGGAGGAGCTGCGGATCGAACCTTCGATCATCCGACTGGATTAAGACCCGCTCTACCTCCGAGCCACAGGCGGCCCAATTCAACCACCCCGTCGACCCATCTGCAATCACTGCTTTGTTTGGAGTCGCCCTCTCACCTGTCACATCAAATCATACGAAAGACTTCAAAGCTTTCGTATCTCCTTTCACTAGACGCCTTAAATCTTGTTAGGTGTCTTCCTCCAGTCTTGTCAGGTGTCTTCCTCCAGTTGCTCATCACTTAGCGACAAGTTGGGCACCTTCGCCCGAGCTAACGTTACTTTTTTCAGCTGTTAGCACGAACACAAATAACTCTAGCTGTAAGCTCCACAGCTGAGCCTCACTGCTGCCGTCTTCCTCTAGTCTACAGTTTAACCCTGGAATCAGAATCACAAACGTAAAGGAATTTGACTTGGTGATCGGAGCATAACAATAGAATAAAGAGATAAAGTATGTCTGATATTAAAGTGTTAAGTGTCTACTTAAAGCGTGCAGTAGTGGATCTATATGGGGGGGGGGGGAACTTTAGTGGGAGATGGCAGGTTAACAGCATCATCTGAAAGCTGGGAACTTGAAGATCAATTTGAGATTCAGCTCAGCAGTTTCAGTCATAACTCTGTAATAAACATTGTTTTGGTTAGGCACCTCTCCAAATTAGTTAGAGTTTATGAGGGCATAGAACATAATGATGGTCGTATATGATGCCATTCACATGCTCACACTCATTTTTACAGCAATTTTACACAGATTTGGTGCACATTAAAATTGATAAATGCCCAAAATCGCGCACATTTTATGGTGATTGGATGGCGAGCACTTCTATTCTGGAAACTTCTCAGAAAATACTTTGTCGTCAATATTCCTAAGAAAGCCAGAGAGGTATAGATTATATAGATATAGATAGTTTGTGGTTGTAAAGGTTCATGAGACTGTGATTATCCTAGAGGAGATTCAGATAAAAAACAGCAAGAGAGGCTCCTGAGTATCCAAATATTCATTCAGACATCTTGAGGTGAGAGTTAAAGGCACCCCTGTGAATTTTGGCGTGACTTGTTGGTACCAATGAATGCCTAGTTTCATCTAAACCGAGCCCGCTACAGCCGCTTAAAGACAGCTATGAGAGGACACTGGAGCATTAATTCAGAGCTGCAATCAGATCTGAGTACCTCCACCACTGCAGAGGTCATGGTATAAAGTCAGATATACGACTGATATCCTGTAATCTCACTGGTCATTGGTTGTATTCGTGACGTGCTCTTAAACCGTCCTCCTCTCTCCATCAGCGCTTTTAAAAAGTCCGGATGGATAAAGTCGGTACGAAAGATTCATAAACATGTATGAAACATGCAGCAGCTTCAGCAGCTCTGCCGCCATCGGCGACGCGTCCTCTCATCAGACCACTCAGCCGCCTCTCATCAACAACACCGTTTCCTCGCTGGGGAAACACCCACAATGCACCGCTCCTCCATTAAGAGCCTTCACTGCTGCCGCTTAGAGATGCTGATTGTGGACGCCGTGACCGAAGGCAGGATGAATTGGTTGATTTCACCTCGATGGGCTGAAGCGAGGGGTTAAACCCCCGACACTTCATCTCCTTTCACTCCTCTATGGAAGCTCACACAGGACAGGATTCAATTAGCTCTACTCCCCATGATCACGACATCATTATCTAATGACATAACAAGCTTTGTCTTCCTGCTGTGACGAAGATGAGAATGGTTGGCTCATATAGACTTATTTATCACAAGATAATAAATTAGGTTTTATGAGCTCGTAATTATTTTGTCACACAGTTAGCTCAACAGAATAATCAACTTAGCTTCTGATCTGAACACACATAAACTGTACCGATCAGGGCTTTAACAGGCTATTGATCACAGTTTTGTGTTTCCTATTCGTCTCCAGTCAGATCTGTACTGTCTAACTATCACATCAAATGGAAATAATTCCCCAATAATTCCTCTCATTTCCCTCTGCTCTCATTTCTTGCAGGATTTATTTTCTTAAATAAGGAAACACCTTCAGCCTATTTGTGAGACACCCGCAGTGCGTTTCGTCGAGTAACAGTGAACGTAAACAGCCACTCAACGGGGAGCTTTAAGTCATTATTCAAGCAACAAGAGAAATATTTGTGCTCTCAGCTTTCTTCTCTTTGCCTTCTATTACAGTAAACTGAACTAAATGAGACATCTGAAGACGTCAACATTTTAGTTCAGTAATCCACAGACTGTGTTCTCACCTACTCACAGCAGTGGGAAGATCGAAGCTAAATAAACAAGTGTTCCAAATGGTGTTCTTTATTGTTGACTAGCAGCAAAATAACTTTTTATTTAAGACACAAACTCTCTCACACGACCCTCCCGGCCCAAAATGAATGGATTAAGAAGCGCTTTACTCCTCATGAAACACCAGCTACTGATCGTTCAGTGAGGATTTGGTCGGATGAGAGCATATCGACCAACCAACCGACCAGAAGGTGTCAGCCCTGCTACCCTCTACTCTGAACACAACACCAGCGATGTGTTTCAGGCTGTAGACGCACGACAGAATTAAATTGTATTCTTGTTGCTTCGCTGGACGTTTTGCATTTGTGACTTGTCAGCGGTGCTCAGTCGTGACCTTTTTCTCTCCGCACCTATAGGAGTCATTACATGCCGGGAAGTCAGCGGATGAATGTGAAACGATCCACTCCATCATCTCGATTAGACTCCTGCAGTCACGCTGCATCCTCTGTCATTTCATGCCTCAGCTGGGCAGACTGTGGCTGCAGCACAGTTCACTCGAGGATCTGTGTTCTGTGTTGATCCTGATGATACTCAATATGATTGTCCCTCCTCACAGGCAGCTGCAACTCACTCACAGGGCCACGCGCATGCATGATAGCTGGTATTAAATATGCACGTTGTCGTTAATAAATCAAAGCTACGGTGTTTTAGTCCGGCTCTGAAGACTTCCTGATTAATGGAAACGTAAAACTTTAAAAACACAAGTATGTAGTTTCATGTTTAAAAAAAGGTTCAGCCATTTCCTAAAACAGCTGGTCTTTGTAGTTTTTATCAAACAAACAGGAGGAAATAGTGCATTTGCTTTCAGTGGCGGATTAATCCACATTTGGTGCTCTAGTGAGTGTTTGTGGCAGCAGGACGGTGTGTGTGTGTGTGTGTGTGTGTGTGTGTGTGTGTGTGTGTGTGTGTGTGATTGAGTCAAAATAAATGGCCGTGAATATGTTTATTTGGATCATTTGTTCTGGTGAAAATACCAACTGTTGAAAGTTACAATCGTATAATATTAAATGATATAACTTTATAAATTTGGATTTATGTTGACCTGACTAAAGCACATTATTGATTTTTTATCATCGCAGATTGACGCGCATCAGCTCTCCAGAGAAAACAGCAGTTTCATTGAATTTGCGACCAAGTTTTGTCACATCCCGACCACCGTACCTCAACTACATCTTCCGTCTGTGTCACATGTCCGCTGTGAGCTACAAGTGTCACGGTCTCCCCACATGCATGTAGTCTTTATACTTTATACCGTGGACTTTTGCACTAAACTGTCAAGGTCTTATAATTTAAAAACTGATCATCTTCATGTATTTCTTGACAGATTCCTTGTATGTGCGAACCGATTTTGCAATGAAACTATTTCTGATTGTGGTCCTCAGTAACACGGCCAGACTGTACTGCACTTTACAGAGGCTGTTATTTAGCATCTTAAGTGGATGAATGAAAGTCCACCGACCTCGTCGACGTTTTCGAAGGCGTTGATGACATCATAAGGCAGGCAGGACAGCAGGTCGATGACAAACCAGGTCTTGACGTAGTTCATGCGGATGAGTTTCGGGTCGGAGATCACCTCCCCGGCCGGGCCGACGAAGGTGGTGTGGAAGTTGAGGACGATGTCGACGAGGAAGATGACGTCCACGATGCTGTCCACCACCAGCCACGTGACGTTGTTCTGCTTGGTCTTGAAGGAGACGTTGTAGGGCACCATGATGGCGGTGTAGAAGGTGAGGATGAGGATGACCCAGTCCCACGTGGTCTTGAAGAGGCAGTAGTGCAGGATGATGTGCGGTGGCGTCTTCGGGGTTTCCTGTTTGTACTGAGGCAAGATGTCTGAACCCAGCTGGAGAACCTGAGACCAAACGTAGTAAACAGAGCATCAGGCTGTGGTTTGGTCACAGAGTTTTCATAACTTCACGATGAGACCAAACCCTCATGAAGATTAAGTTACATTTTAACCGAATTTATATCAAAACTGTAAATTGTCGACTATTCTCGCTGTTCTATAACATGTCCTTTACCCACTTAGTCCTTATACCAACAGTACTAATGATTATTTATCAAAAATCTCATTGTGTAAATATTTTGTGAAAGCAGCAGTAGTCGACCCTACAATGTAGTTGCAATATATCGATATATTGAGGATATATTATCGATATAATATCGAGGTATTTGGTATGAAATAAGTAAATTAACGTGAGAATAATACATCTTAATTTACTAATGTCGGTACAAACAGCATCACCCCAGTGAACCGCCCCGATAATAGCCGTCTTCATTGGTGCCGACAGAAATGATCGCTGTGCAGTTAATGGGAAGATTAGTCACAGTTAATTACAGCTGAAGAATTCATCAGCCTGCTAGCAGAGCGCTGATACAGTAAAATACACCTAACACATTTCATTTGTCATCCTCTGAAACAAAGAGCCGCGAGGATATTTATTCCTCCGCAGCTTGTCGGGCAAAATGGCAGCAGATTAATACAAAGCAACACGGGACCAACGCACGCCTACAGAGGTGAACGACAATAATTAAAAAGCACAAAACAAAGTGTTAACTTTAAGCTTAAAATACCGAGGACGGTGTTCCTTCATCAGCTGCTGTGAATGTGATACGTCTCCTAAAAAAATCAAATATACTGCATCTGATTTCATTTCCAATTTGCAAAATGATGCCTTATACTTCATACTTTGGCACTATTTTTTATTTATGTATAACTCTATACATAGAATCTTCTTGTTGTCTCATGCGCAACAGACAAAATGTCAGACACACAAATAATTCCACAAAAACATAGATTCCACAGTAAACTGTGTGCAAACATTACTGGGTGTGCACTGTGTTTGATGTTCTTCCTCATCTCACCCGCTCCTCCCCCTCAGATACACCAACGAGGGTGATGGAGGTGAATGGAGTCCTTTATATCGTCAAACCACAGTGATTCTCCAGAGCTTTCAAACTATTTGATAGTTTGAAACTTTTCCTGACAGAGCCATTAGTCTGACATCATGTTCAAGAACCGTCAGAGTTGAAAATCGGCCAATAATGTGTGTTTATACAGCTCGTGGCTGATAAATGGTGTAATTTTGTCAAAAAAAAAAAAAAAAAAAAAAACACTTTTTCGTGCTTTTAAAAACTGGGGTTCAATTTAAAAATATTTCTGAAACTGGAAATTAAAAATATATATATTTTTTTAGGGATCCACAGAAGCTCTGGTGACGAGAGTAATCAGGGCCGACCTCCATCTTTAATAACAGGGTAGTTATCTTGGTCTGAAAGTAGGCCGTCAGTAAATAACAGGAAGTGCTTCCATCTATCCGCCCATCTGAACACGCCACCAATAACAGGATGTCAGAGGTACTTTGTTTCAGATCAATTTAAAGTACTGCTTATCTCACGACAGAAAGAAAACAGCAATACTGTAGGCTCACAGTGCTTTTCTACACGCATCAGTTCTCTCTTGCGTCATCCTGTATTCAACTATTACGGCTCAGTCCAAGGTAAAGTGTCCTCATTCATAAAACATCAGGTTCAACCATCTGCTAAATCTAAAGCAAATGGAAAGCTTCTCAGATACCATGTCACACAGGTGAGGGACTTTCTGCTGAGTCACCATCTATCTGTATCAGGCCAAAGGTCTTACGAGAGGAGAGAAGAGAAAGGACTGTACTCCATCCTGAGGTTCATATCATCCAGAAATATCCGCCAAACTGTAATGTCATCGCTTCAGACTGAGCGCACAGGCTGTAGTTTGGCTACGCAAAAAACTGGATTTTACCTTCAGCAGGAGAAGATTATTGAAGAGAGGAGAAGGCCTTTATGCAGCAGACAGGATTTAAATTAAAACATGATTATTGAGGAGAAATGATCTCACCTCTGCCAGCCGTGAGTGTTTGTGGACGTTCTCTCCTTTTTGGACGGCTGGAGCGAGCTGCTGAAGAACTCCTCGACTGCTGGTTAACGCTCGAGTCAGACGGGCAAATTTACCCCAACCTGCCAAACACATGGAATAAAAGAACACGACGCGTCAGCAAGTACCAATCCTTCTTTAGGGTTTTGACTGTCCATATTTTAGAAACATCCGGGTTAAAGCCGTCATTAGCCGTCATATTGTCTATTCACATCATGTATAACAACTTAATGTCTCATTTGCTGTCAGATTTTGGATTATTGTTCGAAGTTTCAAGGTTAATTTCTTGTCATTGTACAACACAGGGGTGCACAACAAAATGCAGTTGTAGTCCTTATATGCTACATAAGAAACACAAAAAACGACATTATTTTTTACAGTGGAGTGTGGAGGATGAGATCGGTAAAAGCTGGTAAAAGTGTTTTTGTATCGAGGCCAGAAAAGGTCTTTGATTGACGAGCAACTAGAAACTAATCAACAAGCTTTATCGTGACGTTACGAAGCAACAAAACAAAGCAACAAGAAGCTCGTCCACAAGAAAGAAATTACTCTTTTAGCTCTCTTGTAAAAACGTTTGTATAAAAAAAGGACACTAACCTTTTACAGAGTCGTCCTCGATTGGCTGCTTGAAGGCGGTGATGTCACTGAAGGTGCAGAGAAACAGGACCACTTTGTCCTGCTCGTTCCTGATTGGAGCGATCTTCACGAAAAACCAAACTGGCATCCCTGCAGCACACACGAGCACAAACACACACAGACAGGAAATCAGTCTGATGTTCCTCACAAGAATTATGTGTCAAAACTCAACACACGCCACAGCGCACGTCCACAAGCGATGTCTATTCTGGGTACGGAGGAGGTGTTTATTTGGGAAATAGAAACAGTAATGTGTACAACAAACAAAGTCTCTATATGAACTCATTAATATCTCATTGGAAACAAATCTAATATGTCAATAACATAAATAATATTCCTGAGTGGAGTTTATAAAGAATGAAGAACACACACATCAGTCAGTATCAGGCATTCCTCCTCTTGTCCTCCCATCCCCCTGTCCCCCTGTCCCCCTCTGTCCTCTCCTGTCCCTCTGTCCTCCTGTCCCCCTGTGTCCTCACCTGTCCTCCTCACTCTGTCCCCATGTCCCCCTGTTTTCCTTTCCCCCTGTCCTACTCTGTCCTTTACTCTGTCCCCCTCACTCTGTCCTCCTGACTCATTCCTCCTTTCCCCCTGCCCTCCTCTGTCCTCCTCTGTCCTCCTCACTCTGTCCTCCTGTCCTTTACTCTGTCCTCCTGTCCTCCTCACTCTGTCCTCCTGTCCTCCTCACTCTGTCCTCCTGTCCTCCTCACTCTGTCCTCCTTTCCCCCTGCCCTCCTCTGTCCTCCTGTCCTCCTCACTCTGTCCTCCAGTCCCCCTGTCCTCCTGTCACCTTTAGTACGGGAAATTTGCAGTACTTTTTAAAAAAACCTTGAAGTACTCACGGTTTTTCTTGTACATCAGAATCTCAAAAGAGTTCATCTCGTAGTTCTCAAAGGTCTGCCGAACCTTCTCAGTCATGTCTTTATCCGTCAGCTCTCCGTACATGAAGCTGCAGGAGCAAAGACAGCACGATGAGACTCTCAGTCCCGCCGGTCCAACAACAACAACAACAACAACAACAGCAGCAGTGTGCAGGTGAGTCGCTGTACCTGCAGGTGCTGCTCTTCTGCATCACCTCGGCTCGATGGTAACCCGACAGTTTGCAGAAGCCGTCGTTGCTGTAGACGATCGGCCAGTCCACGATCTGAGCGTTCCCCAGCACGAAGTTTGTGTCTGACCGCGGAAACCAGTTACAGGTTACAATGTGTCCCAGTTCAGAGCGTTCCATGACAGACACGTTTCATAACCATGTTTTATACACATGGTAGGGCTGCACAGGCGATTATGGCTGCTAACAATTATCTTTATTATCCGTTAGTCTGACGATTATTTTCTCAATTAATCATTCGGTCCGTAGAAATGTATTTAAATACAAGATCACAGCTTCCCAGAGTCCTCGGTGACATTTTACAATGTCTTGTTATGTCCAATAAACACGAGCAGTTTAGTGTCACAGAACAGTAAGAAAACCAGTGAATTTCTGCTTTAAATAAATTGAAATATTGCTCGATTATTGTAAAATTGTTGCCAATTAATTAACTGGTGACAGACAAATTTTCGCAGCTCTACATGTCGATTGTCTAATTAATTAATAATGATTTAGACTTAGACTAATGAATAATTGGGATTAATAATCGTGTCCTTAATATAAAGCAAATCATAATTGTCATTTAAGCCATAATCATGCAGCCCTAACACAGATAAATATCATCATGTATTTATCTTTTTATTCATCCACCCATCCACCTGTGATGTAGCTGATCATGTGTCAACCACGAGTTGTACTGACTGAAGTTTACAATATTTACTGCATTTTGTTATTAATATTCAGTTCAGACAACAACAGAACAAACAACTAACGGCCAATCACAGCCCACCAGCAGCAACTCACACACACACTAGTTTACAGCGACACAGGAAGGTTTATCTCAGTGTGTGTGTGTGTGTGCGTGCTTTTGTTGACCTCTTTAAAACAGTGTGCTAGCGCTGATATTGAACTTAAGAGTGTTTTTGGTACACAGTAGACATCAGCAAAATTGTCATTGTTGTTCATAATCTTGTTGACTTATTCCTTGAATTAAATTCAAACGTTACCGTTATTTTCACATTTCACAGAATTATGAGGACGAGTGTGCGGCTCTCTTTACCCGTTTCACTGCCGTTTTGTCCAAAGCTACTGTCAATGACAGTTACTGCCAAATGAATTGGATGTAAACTATTTTAATAATATAACTGAAGCTGATATATATGCTGTATGTGTCGAGCAGCTGTTATGAATGTTATGAACTAAACTGTTTCCTGTGTATCAGTGTTTTTCCCCAGTTTCCACTCTAAGACTTCCACTTTTAGAAATGACTTCGTAAATATTTCACACTTTCTCGTTCATTTTTTAAACAAAGGCTTGAGTTGAATCCCTGCAGAGGAGAAGATAATGTTTGCTGTGCAGCCTGCAGGCTGTAACGTGCTCCCAAAAAACCCCCCCAAAGGACTTTAACTACACGACTGCTCCAATGCAAAATACATGAGGAGTTAATGTCACAAAGTTCAGGATGGAGATTTGTTTTCAGGATGAGAGACACACACATGACACAGTCACAACGAACTGATGTCACTCACACTGAACTCTGTGATGATGTATGACAACAATGACAAATATGACAGAATTATGAATTGTATTAACTAATTATCTTGTGTATTTATTCATTTTGATTAAATATTTAATTATTACAACATAATCCTGTGTATTACCAAAAATAGTGACTTATTGAGTGTCCTTAACACGAAACAAAAATGTCAGTCAGCCCAAAACCCCCACGAGGAGCTGAGATTTAAGTCTGTGAAGCGATAAATGAACACATGAATTAAAACGTGTCCTCACCTTCCCTCTAGCGCCACCATGAGGACAATTGTTCCCTATTGTGTGGTGTGATGAACACGGCAGCATCGCGGGGCCACTGGCAGCTCTCCAGAGTTTAACCCTTGACCGCATCCTTTAGTTTCATTAATTGGGATGAATTGGGCAGAATGTTATGCTAATGGCTTGTTCAGCCGTAGTTTATCATTACACCGAATTACACTGCAGCCTGACTGAGGCTAACCCAACAGCCGTGAGCTGCTGCTCATTTAACTGCATGAGATTAACAGGACAAATGTGTTTGACGGAGATAAATGTCTCTATACTTCCATTGTGTGTGTGTGTGTGTGTGTGTGTGTGTGTGTCTTCAGGATATAAACACATTAAAAGTCTGTTTTGAGCTAAATGCTAACACCAGCATGCCACTATGATCACAGTGACACTGCTAATAACATACTGATGTTTACTATGTTACTATTAGCATGCATGCTAACAAGTAGCAAGCACAGCTGATGGGAGTGTCCTTTGTTCTGCAGGTATTGAACCTCTTTTGTGCTCGTTAACACATGATGACGCATTGTTGTGGAGCGGAATAACTCTCTGTACACGTTAGCTAACGCTGGCGAGCACGTTTCTTAACAATAGCTGAATAAATATAAGTTTCTCTGAATACGTCTCTGTGCTACTTGTGAAAATGAACATTAACCAACGGGAACAGATTGGCTGACCCCTACTCGCTGACTCAACGTCCAGACAATTTCACGCCTGAGAGAGAAACCGAGCGTGGATAGTAAAGAGAAACTGAGGGCGTGTAATCCTTTGGATGCCTGTAACTATCCTGCAGGAAAAACAAAAATGTGCTCTTCCAGCATTCACAGCAGCTGCCTACACTGCAAGGCAACCGAAAATAACGAAGATGGACCTTTATCATAAAGAGTGTCTTACAATATCAGGGAAGCATTTCAGTGATGCACAGTTAGCAGAATGCTAAGCTAACTATTTGCAACCTTTTTCTCACCAGTTACGCTGAGATAACAGTATTAGCTTCATCGGTATAATCTATTAAAGTCCATTACAACATCTTAGAGTTCATTAACGCTGTGTCAGAGAGGAGTTGATTCCACTTCATGTTCGTTTGTGCTCTCGCTATTTATTATGATCACATGAAATGTTGTTCTGCTGACTGCTGGGATCATGGCGTGTACATTTTAGGATATAATATTTGGTCACAAGCCAGAAAAGTTGGAGAAACTCTGATTTAGAATTAGAGATTCAAGAAACTAAATTGTCAAATAGCTGCTGTTGTCTTTTAAATACAGTAAGTAGACTCTAGCGAGCTGGTGTGTGTGACATATATATATATACATATATACATACATATATATATACACATACATATATATATACATACATATATATATACACATACATATATATATACATACATATATATATATACATACATATACATACACACATATATATATACACATATATATATACACATACATACACACATATATATATATATACACATATATATATACACATACATACACACATATATA